ATATTTCCGTACGGAAAAGAAAATAAACGTAATTGCAAAAAAATCTGTGGCATCTCAAGTTGATTTGATTCATATATTCAACCGTCACAGGGGATCGACCCTATATTTGCTATATTTGGATTGAAACGTAATAATAACCCAGCAGTCTTAGGAGAAGTAATAACGTGATACGACGCATCTGCCTAAGCAGATGTAAATACAGTCTCATCGATCAATCAATCGCAAAACCTAGAAGCTAAAAAAAAGTAAGTAGATCAAAAATATCACAAAAAGTCGTTGATTGAAAGATCTAATGTTTACATTGATAGAATTAACATATACCGTTAGCGCGAATAACTAATTTATATAACCGCCAATAATAACGTTAGCTGGGTTTTATCTATTTTTAACGGGACGAAAACAATGACTATCGCATTAAAATTTAGTTATCAGCAAGTCCCAAATAAATACTCCAACGATCGGCAATATCTTAATAGGACAAGCAAAAAAGCTGACCCATTAGTTTCCTTCTGATATTTACCGCTTCCTTCCGCCGTTGTTGACGGATGATGTCTTTGCTTTTTGCTGGTTTTGCCTCAATACCAATCGCATTATTTTGCTATTTTGCCACTCTATATAAGTAATTTTCCAACCAATTCAAAGGAATTCGCAAGAAACTTGTTTACCAATCACAGGAAAATCGTTACACAGTAAGTAACGCATTTTAATTAACTTCCCGCTTGTGGGGCCGAATTTTCAAGACAAATGGATAGATCCTCTCCGTATAAAATGTATTGATCTTGATATTAGCGGCGGTAAAAATTTTGATATTATGAAGACATTTTTATGACACACTTAAGTAAAGAATTCGGGCGTTCATTTTGACTTCGTGTGCCTTCTTTTTGCGATATAACACAGTTTGTTTAATGGAACATTCGAAATATTTTAAACGCATAATAGACCGTTTATAAAAAACAAATAAATTATATTTAAAATATTCAATACTTTGCGAAAATGACACACCACTAAGGGATAGTTGACTTCTTTACTAGTATATCTTATCTCAATCTATTTTTGATAGCATTTTATAGTTAATTTGAGTTACAATGTTCGCTTAAATATTCTGGTTTAAATTCCGCTTTTTATATTTTTTAAATTAAATTGAGATGACTTGGTAATATTTTTATTTATTTATATTGTTATAATTTTTATGTTAATATAGCCCAGAAGACAAGAAACATTGGACACCCTGTATAGCTTATTTATTAAGTTGACAATAATACAGCGATTTTGAAGTTTGGAAGCTGTTTGATTATTTAGACATTTTCTGAGGCCCCTTTTTCAAAAGACGCCTATCACGTCGTTTTTTATAGCGCTCTATGTCTTAAAAATGTTATTTTAATTATATATATACACCAATAACACGAATATGTTTGTTCCATGCTGGGCATCATTTTTAGATGAATTAATTTTTATGAAATTATATCTGATTTGGCAACACTGGATAATATTAGATTTTTTTGGGAAGCAAGAGGGTTGGCGCAGAAGCGTCAATACAGCGTTGTAACCTGCTTTCTGGTAAAAAGACGAAGATTACACTCAAGAAAGAAAACAACAAAAATTATAACAAAATAAAAACATCCGTCAAAGGGTTTAATTTTGTAGAACTGTCTATTCGCTAACAGCGTTAAAACAACTTTTTCTGATCTCAAGTTAATCAACAAAAATAACATTTTTAAACGACCCACTCCAAAGTATTCAATTATCCACTAATAAAGCATGCGTAACGTGTGATTTTAAAAAGTAAGCTTCAGCTACGACTATGGTGAGCCATTTGAGACAATTCCGGTATTTGATTCACGGATTTTAACCACTGATGGGATTTTGACGTTTGTCAGTTCGTGCTATTTTGCAATAAGTAAAACTAATAGTCGTAGTATCAAACTTCTTTAGTCAGTCACTCGTAATATATTATATACTATTCTGTGTCTTTACACGAAGGTCTGAAAATCCAGTCAATCGACCTTTTTTCTGAAAAAACGTTAGAAACTATTTTTACAAAACCGAGGCTGATATTTTGACGCAAGTGTAATTCTTTCGTATTCGTTGAAACGAATCGTATTAAACGTATCGATAAAGCTCCCGAAATTATTATTCTCTCTTCACCTCAATATTTACGTAAACGGCGTTGTCGGATTTACGTCCGAATATATAGCAATTTATATACTAACAGCTTCGGACCTTCGAAATTTCTCGGATATGCGTTTACAAAGAAAACATTTCTTTCATCGTTTACGTAATTCTAGGTCAATGGTTTTATTTCAACGATATTTCAAAAGACAAGTATAGTTTTCCATTCAAGTATATGTGCCTAATTTATCCATTGATATCTCCAAAATACATATTTTCTAGATTTTAAACATCCATTGGGCACCCAAATACCTTCTAAATATGTCTAAAAAAATTCAAGCTTCCTGTCCAGTCACAACCAGAGTTTATGAATGATGAATTTATAATTACAAAACATAAAAAATACAACTAAAAAAATGGCTCTTCTTAACAGGCACGAATACAAATAAATTGTTTGTGGTGTGTGTGATTGTTCACTTAAAAATAATTTTATATATTTGCCCTTTTAAAAACAATTAATTTAGCTTCTTAATTTTTAGATTTCGATTATAAGAACAAATGCTAATAGTGATTGTTCATATCCGATTCCTGTTCAAGTACTAGCCGTTCTGTAGGTTAATCAGTTTTATGGTTAATTTTCTCTTCAAATAAATTTATTATTAATTATTACAGTAAATGTTTTTAAGATCAAAAGCGCTTTGAAAACATATAGGTTGCACATATTATAACATTTGTGGTATTACGTTAGCAAAAATGAACGATGGAGACTATCACCCTCGGGGTCGCCGTGCAACCAAATCCCGGAGACTGAATTTTTCGTTATTATTATGAGGAGTAATTTTTTGCAGGCTAATAAAAATGAGTCTGAGTCTGAGTGCTACGCAGTTCTTAAATTGAGGTCGAAATCAAATTTGTACTGTGTGTTTAGACCTAATAGGACGTAGAACAGAACCCCATTGTTTTTACCAACGCTACTACTAACCAACGCCTGGACTAGCAGCACACTTTGAAAGTATATTTTCACTCGAACAACTTACTGTTATTTGAGAATGTTAAAGAAAAATAGCAAATAGCAACTTGTTAGGTTGTTTATGGTTTCTAATAAGTTATAACGATAGAGCTGGGGGTAGAGTGAGAAATTACCGACACCTTTAACATCTATGCATTTTATTCTAATGCTCTTGATTGTTAACAAGTAATTAAAATCACCGTAGTTTGTAAACAAAATATAACACGAGTCATAACAGAGACCATGTACCAGAGAAATAGTTTGTTTTTCGAAATTAACACATTTACCGCAAACATGTTCCGATGATTTGCATTGCTATTGTCAGTCTGACAGTGAAATACCGGGTTGCGGTCATAGTTGACGTTTCGGGTTTTGATAAGATTACGAAAAAGTAGCTTTATATCCGATTTGGAGAGAAGAAAACATTGATCGGTATCAAGGGAGCAATCCAAATTTAGTAATTACATTTTATGATGTTATGTCATTTCAATAACACTCTGAAAGGATACATCAATACGCTATGCATTATGAAGTTAATGAATGATTAGAGAGGCAGAGTAAAAAAACACCAGGTCGCCCTTACTCAAATCTAGGAAGCTTGTCGTGTTGTCTCTCTTTTGCGATGCAAATTATGTTAGTTCTGACATTTTAAAATTTTACGGGTTTTTACTGGTTGCAGTCTTTTAATTGTAGGTAAATATTTACTTTTTACGTTAGTGGCATCCTGATGGTTAGTTTAAACCATTTTAGGTGGAGATTTTTTTTCTCTATATATATAAAAAATATATTTATTTTTACATATATTATTTTGCCTATTCCTCATTCCTTTTAAAATTGTTAAGTTGTTCTTTCAATTAACACTACCTATATAAATGCTATATAAATCTTAGAACTTGGAAATAAAAAAAAATGAACTCCCAGAAACTTAAATATCCACAACACTTTTGGGTCTAAATTGCGTAAACAAGGGATATACGCTCTGTAAGATACATATTTATAGAGTTTAAGCCGAATGACTTTAAATAAATAGGCACGTTAGCTGATTTAAAATACATATTATATTAAGAGCACGTGTGTTTGTCTATTTCGTGTTAGATTTTACGACTGTAGTCCATTTTCATTAAAGCAATTTTATGCTCCGCGAATGCAGTCCCGGCATTAAAGCTGAGGTGAAATCGAGGGAGATTTATCAATTATTTTAATGTAATTTTGACATAAAATCCTAAACTGTTTGAACGTTACACCGATTTAATGGTTTTCCGAAAATTTCAGATTGCTCGTGCGTCAGTTTACGGTGCCTATCGAATGGGAACTACGGGAACCGATATGCGAACGAATGCAATATTATGCCAATCTGCGAAAATAGAACGAATCAGATAACCGAAAGCTTTGGCACATCACAACGTCGAAATTCGATTGACAATTTGACTGCATCAGTTTTCGCGGAGAAAAACTCACGAATGCGTTCCCGTTTTCCCAACAATGTATAAGCGTAAACGTTAGCTAAATGGTTCAGAAAAGCATAATTTCCTGCAACAACGGTCGTTGATCCAACAAAATGTTTGGCCTTATGCCATTTACCCGAGCGCTATTTTTTTTTTCGCGTGTGGCGATTATTGTAAATTATGTTCGGGATAATTCTTGGGATAATTAGAGTCCGTAGGTTGGCACCCAAAATTTAAAATACTTACGCGACCCGTACAATTAAGCTCCTATTTCATGAATTATGAAAACACTGAATAATTTTGCATTTCCACATTCTGATAATTAAAAATAATCAGAACCACAACAATAAAATTTAGTGAAAAAAATCTTTGTGTTCATGTTTGGGATGGTTGCAGTTTAAATAATATTTCGGTATCTTTTTATCTTTCCTTCGCTTTCTTTATTTCTCATGGACGACACAAATCACAGTTCTTTTCAGTTGAATTTCAACATCTTTTTATTATTATTAAATTATTATTATTACATCGCTTAAAACTAAACTTCACATTACATTCTTAATTTCTAATCTAGAGGCAGTGAATGTTGTGACAAATTATGCAATGTTTTCTATGTTTGAAAATTGCATTGTACAAAACAACAATTATTTTGAGTTTGTTTCCGTCCAGCTAGAGATTCCCTTAAATCCAATGTTAGATTCGCAAAGGTATAAAATTAATTAAGTACAAATAAAATACCTTCTTGTTCCAGTTTATAGTTTAAGCATTGAATGAAATATTTGGTTTGGTTTGGTTCTCGAAAATTTTGCGTGTTTTTCCGAAATCATTAACTATGTCATTTTTGTATTTTAGTGCGTGACCTCAGTCAAACAATAATACTTTATACAGAGCGTTGTTTCAAAAAACGTTCCCCTACTTTCCCGCGCAAAAAAATAAGTTATTTTGACTAATAAACATGTTCTGAAAACTCCGAAGATACGACTCTGTAAAGGGACTCTAAAAAAAATCGATTTTTCATTTATCATTTCTGAAACGGTTTAAGATTAAATTAAAATTTAAATAAAATTTGGACCTCAAATATCTTTATACTTGTTTCTGGAACCATGATTATTCCTTGACATTCGTTAGCTCAGCACTACTTGTTAGAATCTCAAATAAATCTAAAACTAGCAAGTTTTCTGATTTTTAACAAGTGTGCCTTTTTATGGCAAATTATTTAAAAAATATAATTTTTGACCTAAAACTAACAATCCAGTACATATATCTTGGGATTCATCTTGTATTTTTCATTTTCAAAAATAATTTACCGAGACAATTCTTCGTCAAAATATTTGTAAATTTTCTATGAAAAAAAATTACCGAGCAAACCTAAAATTTTATAAAACTTAGTTCTTCGTGCGCTATTAGTGTAAATAGGTTTCTTCACCGCAATGAAAATGCTGATATTTTTAGAAAATGAGGTAAATACAACAAATACGTTAGTGGCATTGCACAGATTTACGCACAGTAACCTGCATTTTTGTATAAAAATAGACATTTTTATGCGTCACGTACCCTGTCTGCGAACAAAATCGTGAAGATGCTCTCATTAATTTTTAATTAAACGGTCTCAAAATCTACTAAACATCGAAATTTCTCTTCAGTTGTATTCTTCAGCCTGGCGATTTGCTCTTTGCTGAGTTCTTCTTTGTATGAACCTACTTTTCCGGACCTGTAAAAGTAAGCGCCCTTCTGCTGAAAATACCTCTCGTCCATAACCTTAAGGGATGGATTAGTCTTCATCTTCTCGAAACTGAGATGATCCGCTAATTTGATTAGTTCCTTTTCCGTTATAGGTTTCTCAAGGAATGTCGATACTTTTCGTATCATTTCCGGAAGATCCCGATGAAAATCTTCGTATTTGACGATGAGAAGATTCGATAACTTGCGACGTTGCCAATAACTTATGACGTGGTCCCAATAAGAACCGTAGCAACATATTCCTAAAATTGTTTTGCAATATAATTAATTTAAAGTAATTGACCTGAAATCAATACCTTCACCCGACAGAAAATCTCTAACTGAATCTCCAATGGTTCCCCTGTAATTGAAGTAGGATGTGACGTAGTGGTGCAGTGACAATAACGTGTCGTATGGATTTCTGGTCATGTAAAGTACCTTCGAATGACACAATATTAACGAAAATTATGAACTAGTGTGTTCATCATACACCATATTTGATAAAAAAAAATTGTACCTTCGATTTTTTGGTGCCGTTTTGAATCTGACTGGGTAAGCAGGTCCATGGTAAGTGAGTTTTTATGGACACTGGAGCTTTATTCATCTCGATAAATTTTTGAGGATCGATAAATTCCAGGGGATGATCGGTTAACTTTGAATTCATAATTTGGTATTTAGTCACAGCCGCACATCTGTAGGGTGACGTACTTATTAATTTGTAGTGTTGTTATTGCGCAACTTACTCCAAAAACGGACATCGTTTGTTCATAGAAATCGACAATGCTTTTTCGTAATCCAAATCGTTCACCAACATCCATACTAGCTCCAACAACCAATTGGTGCCTAAAAGTATTTTAATCGCAACTAATACATACAACTAAACATACTAACCAGTTTTTGGATAGCTGCATATCCAGATGTCTTCTTTTCTGATATCCCACTGTAGAACTTTCTCTTTCAATGTTTCCATCGTTTCGTCGAATTGTGTCATTATTCCTTCTACAACGCGAAATTAAGTTTGAAAATAAAGTTGACAAAGTTTTTATATTTTTTATAAGTCTGCGATTTTTTTTATAAATTTAAATAAACCATCTAAATTTTTAAAAACATATATATGGATCTTGTTTACATCGAAAGGAAAACGCGAAATAAACGGAGACTCAAGATTGACTTACTGTCAATAATGTCCATCTCGAACGAGATCACTGCTTTCACTGATACACACGCACTTCATGCCGCAAACCTACCTTATATTAATATACTTAAGAAAAGCTACTTTCACTCTCATTCAGCAACGAGCGGAAATTTTTAAATTGCGTCGTTTTTATTTTCCTATCTCGCATTTTAAATATTTTTATATCCTCAAAATCATTATTAAAAAATTTGGAAAGTTGTTTTTTTTTGTAATCGACAACCAATTCTGAAATGATGCAGTAACTTCAGATTAAAGGATTGAAAATATCAATTTTGTCCTTGTTATATAGTTTTGTTTGTTTAAAATAACTTAACAACCATATGGTTCTTATTCTAATCGGAAACAATACAAAATATCTACTATCAAAGATTTTGGGATTTTTTTGGTCGGAATTACTTTGTGATATATATTCATTTTAAATAAATCAAATATTTTTTATAATTATGCTTTGTATATAACCTTGTCTAGTATAATTTTCGGTATTGTAGATTTAAAGAATATATTTTTTGTACATTTTGTTGTTTTGTTTTTGCTTAAAATAACTTAACACCCATATGGTTTTTATACAAATTGAAAACAATACAAAATATCTACTATCAAAGAATTTTGGATTTTTGTAGGAATTGCTTTGTGATATATTCATTTTAAATAAAGCAAATACTTTTTATACTTAATTATACTTTATATGTAAGCTTGTCTAGTATAATATTCGGTATTGCCTATTTTTTAAACGTTTCATATTCAGAAAGAACATTAAATAAGATTTAAAGAATATAATTTTTGTACACATTGTTTTTTTATTCCAAAATAGCAAAATGTTCATAGTAGTTTATAAAGTTTAACATTTATAAATTATTTTTGTGACCCATTTTATGTTTAGCCCAAATCCCTTGTTGATTGACTCAAATTTCAAAACACAGTTGTATCCCGAATTATGTCAGTTGTGTCCAGGTCTGAATCCATGAAATTAAGGGAACGTAAATCAGCTTTATGTCATATTGCTACCGTTTAGTGTCAACGTTGTAAGATACGATTTATATTCCGGGCAGGAGTCCAAGTTTAAAATCGAATTAACTTTTTCGCCGGAAACATGATTATAGTTTTAATGATACTGGGTCAACAGGTCTTTCTTCTTGTATTAGTCGGGTAATGGATACTTTGTTTGCTCGAAATATTTCCGTACACTCTGCACCACACACAATGTATTCTATTAATAATTTCCGAATACTCTGATGAGTAAAGTCTATACAAAGGATGGTCTATTACTTATTATTTCTCTAACATCTAGGAAAGCTATATGTTTAATGGAAATAAATCACTTATAAAATCATTGCATTAACATAATTTTCAATAAATAATAACTAAGCACATAACAAATAACAAAAAGCATGTCATGTGACAAATTGAGTTAGTATGTTCAGTTGTATGTATTAGTTGGCAGTGAAAACAATCTTAGGCATCAATTACTAAAAATCGTTGTCTATTTCCATGAAAAACTGATGTTCGTTTTTTGAGAAAGTTGCACAAAGAAAACTTGGCGATTAAAATTAATCTGTCATCTTACACATGGGTACTTGTGACTAGATATCAAATTATGCATTCAAAATGGAACAAAAATTCGAAGGTATAATTTTCTTTTAGGAAATATGTCGTCGCTATGCTACTTTCTGCAATGGATTGAATAAAATAGAAATGATCAGCTCACTAGTTGGCAATCTTCATGGATATTATATCATTTTATCATTTGAAGGTCCTATGTATGACCAGTCCATGACTACGTCAAATCATACTTCAATTACAGGGAACCATTAAGGATTCAGTTAGAGGTTTTCTCTGGTGTGAAGATATTGCATAGATATGTATATATATATATATATATATATATATATATATATATATATATATATATATATATATATATATATATATATATATATATATATATATATATATATATATATAAACAAACTGATTGTAAAAATATGTTGCTACTGTTCTTATTGTGCCCACGTGATAACTTATTGGCAACGTCGCAACCTCCCGAAACTAAATTAACAACAAGCACATAAATTGGTCATTGGTTGTGGCCAATTTTGAAAATGTATTTATTATGTCGTTGCCATATTATGATCAAAAATTTATAGAAAATGGACATACTTTGTAACCACTTTAGCTAAAAATTAGGATTTCGGGTACGTCTTTCTCATATGACGATCTATCACATTACCTATGATATGAGTTGATATATACAAAGGATGTATAAAATAACATTCTATGGCACGGCATAAAAATGTAAGTTAGGTAATAATTTTCTACAGCATACGCTGTATTTTATGGTGATCTAGATTCATTCTTTCTTTGGAAGTGTTACTATTTTGAACTGTTTTTACTTTAAAACAGAAAATCGCCATAAAATATAAAATAAAGAGAATAAAATTAACAAATTAAAGAACTTTTATTTGACAAAATAAATAAGAACTAAAAGTTCAGATTTTCTCGAAATTATAGATATTTACATTATATGACTACAATAATTGTGAATATTTCGTGAAAATCTGAATTTTTAGTTCTTATTTATTTTGTTAAAAGGATTTTCATCAAGTAAAAGCCACCTCAGTTCAATTTTTGAAAGAAGCTGAAATTGGTTTCTTGGCTATTTCGTATTTCAAATTGCTTCTACGTTGCCGAATATGTTCCCAAAAAATTTGGCTTTTTAACAAATGTCTACAAAATAAAACATATATATATATATATATATATATATATATATATATATATATATATATATATATATATATATATATATATATATATATATATATATATATAATGTCGTGAAAATCTGAACTTTTAGTTGTTATTTATTTTGTTAATTGGATTTTCATCAAGTAAAAGCCACCTCAGTTCAACCTTTGTTTGTATATTTTGATATGTATACCGTCACAGAGGTATTATTTGAAATTTCATTCAAAATTAATCTTAATACCCATAAAGGCAGGGGAAAAATGAAAGACGGTATAAGACTGTTTTTAGAAAATTTAGGAGCTTTTGTCAAAAAATTCGTTCAAAAAAAAAATGTTAAGAGCAATCCCTAGAACTATTTGATGTAATTCATGGTGGTGTATCAAACTATAACCAGACACATAACTAACGCTCTGCCGAATTTTTTTTGGTGAGATCTGATTAATATATTAATATATTATTGCATTTTTGAATATAACTTTTTTCTCTCTTACGAAATTATGGATACAATTTTTCTGATGTGTATTTACCTATCAATCATATATCATATTTAGCATAATTGATCCCGAAAATTAAAAATCATTATGGAAAACTGCTGACTAAATCCGGAAAATACATTAAACGTTCAGAATTAATTTGGACAAAATCGCATCCGACTTGCATCATGCGTTTTATTTGAAGTGATTTCGCGTTAAACGAAATACGCGTCGTAATCAAACCATTAAAATTAGCCTTAAGGTAAAACGGAAATTAAATCTGTTAACGGCCCCTAAACAAACAATTAATCTGCAACCTTGCTCCGGATTTTACCGTAAACAAAAATTTTACATAATATTTTACCCAGCAAATGCGCCATATACAAACTACGAACCAAAGGCCCTATGTTATTCTATAAATGTTTCTGGAATGGTGTATCTTGTTTCAACAAACACGTGGCGCTGAAGCTAGCCAGATTCAATTAGATCAAAAGAAACGAAATTTTATTTATATACCCGATGAATAATTTCCGCGTAAAACGTTCGGGGTCCGTTTTAACCCTGTAGAGAAAAGTAATAAAAAAGAGTTATAGATTCAGTTGGAGATATAGGAACCAAACCATAATCACCAGTGCCAAATTATATAGTCAAGATTGCTATCGATTTTAAAACTTTAAAGTTAGTCTTTCTCTGACCTTGTTTAATTGTATCCTCCACATAAAATTCCTAAGATAAATAAGACATGACATCAAAAAAAAAGAAAGGATAAGGTTATAATTTGAAGCGGATTCATATAATTAGTGACTTTTGGACCCGCATGATAGAAACGGATTTGACTACATTATAATTATTTGTTAGTAGTTATTCCCTTTGTTTTGCTTCAATTTATTTCTATATATTCTCTTGTATTCCTAGTATAATGCGTTAGTTAACCAAAACAGCCTCAATTAATTATATAAGAAGTTATATTATATTAGGAATTTATTTTGAGGTTTTCATAAAGTAAATAGTTATACCTAAAAGATTGTCAGTTATTCGCTGTATTCTATTTGTTTCTTATATATCAATAAAAGACGTTTTAATTCAGTTCAGTTCAACTAAGTACATACCTACAATATGTACCATGTATAAGCGGGATTATAACAACGGAGCTTTATGTTCATATTTTCTCTTCCAATGAAAACTAAACAAAAAACAAACAACAAAAACTCTACACAAATAGTGAAGCTAAAAAGTAACTGAAGGACATTGAAGGAAAAGAAAAAAACGCCTCAGGCATTTTATTGCCTTTTTTTTGGAGCTTAGTTTCACTTTTTCTCAATGACACACAAACTAAACAGTTACAAATATAGAACCACACAGTATAAAACAAAACAACAATTAAATAATAAAGTGTATTTACAATATTTAACTTTTTGCAGGCGATATTGTTCTACACTCCGAGATGGCTATGGAAGTCGTGGGAGGGCGGAAAAATCTGCGCCCTTATGATGGACCTTGACGTTGCCGTATGTTCTGAAATCGAGAAGAAGCAAAAGAAGAAACTGATGATCGATTATCTGTGGGAGAACCTCCGGTATCATAACTGGTGGGCCTACCGCTACTACTTCTGTGAAGTACTGGCCCTGATAAACGTGGTTGGTAGGTTGGATTCAAGATTACTGAGAACTAATAAGTTTATTTCCTTTTGGCACTTTATATACAAATAATTCGGCCCGATATATCAAACATAAACAAATATATTTAATCGACATGTTATCGTTGATGATTTATGTAATTAATATATTATGATATTCGCTCCAATAAAATAAATATTATGAAATTTGCAAACAGTTGCGAACTTGATGGATTGTTTTTAGTTAAAAGCTCAAATATATATTTAGCCATTCGCTGTACGCAAATCTGGGTATTTTAGTGACTAATAAAACAAAATTTAATGGTTCGAAGTCTGGAGGCACTGTGGGCTTTCCGACAGTTTATGTTAACGTCTATTACCAATGAGCTGATTCTAAGTATAAAATAATAGTAATAGAAATTTTACACTAATTTTAATGGATAGCGGTACATTTTTAACGAAGACATTCATGTCATTACGATAGTAACGATCCCTTGCTACCGTTTAAGTGCAGTACTTGGAGTTTAAAATGTTTTGAATCATGGAGTCGGCTGGTAATAGCATTATTTTGAATACCTGAAGGGGGGGGGGGGTTGAATATATATAAATTTATGCTTAGCTTAAATAAAACTTCTGGATTCATTTAGTCGAACTTGCTAACGTTTCGCCAATCATCCTGTTGGCTTCTTCAGAGCTGGACGGAAACTGGCTCGTATTTTACTCTGTACTTGCTTATATATGTGGAAGTTTCATTTTTTTATTAACATTTTCTAAGCGAAACTAAAGTATATTGGATATATTTTAATTGCATGCAAAATGTCCGACTTTCGAAAGGGTATCAAACAAAATCCCACAAAAAAATCGATATCAAGCCAAAAACTAAAATAACACAAGTTCTGCTCCCTTCCCCGCAATACAATCTGATTTTATCCCCAGGCGTAATGCAAGAATAAAACTATAGCGAAATAAACCACTGTTTATAGCTCAAAGCAAGATTCGCATTTCTAACAGACCCAATAGTTTACATCCCAAGGGAATTATTTTGGCCTGTCCCAGATATTCCGAATCTACTCATAAATTTTTTCCAGTAATGAGAAATCGCAGCACAACCCACGAATTAGAACGATTGTTTCATAGCTTGTGGTGCAGTGTCTCCTATCAATGACATTACATCATTTAAAGAAGACAAGACGTTCATAAAATGTCTAGAAACCGGAGGTTTAAACAAACAAAAGCGGAACTCTATCCTCCATTAAAATTATAGGTACCTATGAATAGTGTCCCCAGTCTTGTGGGGATAGATATTTTGTAAACTTTATAACAATTTTACTTTTCCTGGATCACAATATGCACTTAATAAAATTTCAACAGAGAAAGAAGTAAAGGCGTTGACAAATTAATCAATGTTGTTAATCCCGATTCTTGTTAAACAAAACTCCTTCCTGAAAGTTAATGTGTCATTTTGTGTGTATGAAATGTCATTTGTGCTTGTCGATTGTTAAATAAATATTATGTACTATTGTCGCTGTTCTTTCCATGTAACGTCATATTTGTGCAATATTTTCCTACGGGGTCCTCAGCAACTTGAAATATTAGAATTCCTCTAGTTTTCTCGATCTTCTCTGACTTGCAAGTGTCATTTTCCAGACGATAAGTAAAATAAATACAAATTTAATTTATTTTGGAGACATATTTTGCTCATAAAGTTTATAAACCTGACTATTAGAAATGAGAAACTTTAGGTCTAAATCTCAACTTTTTGTAACCGTTGTAACTTCAAATAAAATTCTTTCAGAGGGAAGTCAAAAGGGCCAAGTTTAAGACATTTAAGACAAGTTGCAATATTGTTCATACGAAGGCAGCGCCAAAATTTCCTGGCCTGAATATGAAAGAAACAAAGTAGAGTAACAATTTTTTATTATTTTTCAATATAATCCCCCTTAATTTCAGTGCACTTATCACATCTCTTTATTAACAACTCGATCCCCTTAAAAAACATTCTTTTGGTTTGTCTGCCAAATTAGCTAAAGCAGCCTCTTTTAACTCAACTTCGTTGTTAAACCGCCGTCCATGTAAGTCCTTTTTCAAATATCCAAACAAATAACAGTCGCTGGGGGTTATATCTGGACTATAGGGAGGATGATCTATCTGTTGGAACGTACACTCAAAAATGGCAGCTTGTGCAACACCAGCAGTATGGACAGGTGCATTATCGTGCAAAAGACGCACGCCTCTGGTCAGTTTTCCTACACGTTTTACACGTATGCAGTCTCGCAGTCTATGTAATAATATTGGGTAATATTTACCATTGACAGTGGTATTAGTTTCTTTAAAATCTATCAAAAGAATTCCTTCACAATCCCAAAATATCGTGGCCATCACCTTTTCTATTGACTGGCAGACTCTGAATTTTCTTGGAGGTGCTTCACCCTTACGACGTCACTCCATTGATTCTTTTTTCGATTGAAGGTCATAATAGAGAACCATAGTTTCATCTCCCGTCACAATAGTTTCTATCACAGGCTTCCGACCCACAGAGTTCCAAAAAAGATCGCGCACGCTCGACACGACGTTGTTTTTGAATAGCCGAAAAGTTTATAGGAACGCATCTTGCACTAACCTTATGCATACCTAAATGATCATGCAGGATTCGACGAACACTTGTATAAGAAAGCTTAGTAATTTCTGAGATTTCCTTGACCTTTAAACGTCGATCACTCAATACCACCTCTTCCACAATCGCAACAATATCTTCAGTTATGACCTCCACTGGTCGACCAGTTCTTGAATCATTTTCAAGGGACTCCTGCCCCATTCGAAAACGTTTTGCCCATTCTTTCACTACAGAATACGAAGGAGAACTTTGGCCGTACACACCATCCAACCTTTCTTTAATAATTTTAGGTGCTAACCCTTCTTTTGTCAAAAACTTTATGACTGCTCTATACTCAATAATAATAAAAGACTATTAGACACAAAACTTCAATTTTTGTTTTCACAGCTTACTAAGATATATATTTAAAAGAAGACAAAGTATTATCGGGATACTGGAGCTGCATCTATGTCAGGCCGTGAAATTTTGGCGCTAACCTCGTATGTATCTAATTATTTAAAAAAATTAAACATTTTTTATTCAAATATGGGATGAAAACTTTATGTGAATCACTCTAACTCTATTTCTGCTGGGTCACAACATTAACAAAATTAAAACAAATTTATTAATAATAAAAGAGACCACAAATAAATAATGGCATAAATCCCTTGATTTTCGTGATCCGCAATATTTCACAATTTTATATGTTCCAGGGCAAATGTTTCTGATGAACAGATTCTTCGACGGAGCGTTCCTGATGTTCGGTTTCGAGGTAATCGCGTTCATCAACACAGATCAAGAGGACCGGATAGACCCGATGATCCAGATTTTTCCGCGGATGACCAAATGCACTTTCCGAAAGTACGGCGTTTCCGGCGACGAAGAAAAACACGACGCCCTCTGCATCCTACCCCTCAACGTAGTCAACGAAAAAATTTACATCTTCTTGTGGTTTTGGTTCATAATCCTAGCAATTTTAACATTGCTGACGGTGATCTATAGAGTGATTATCATTTTTTCACCGCGGATGCGGGTTTACTTGTTACGAATGAGGTACCGATTGGTAAGGCGGGACGTCATAGAGACCATAGTGCGAAGAAGTAAAATGGGGGATTGGTTTCTTTTTTACATGCTCGGCGAAAACCTGGATTCATTGATATTTAGAGATGTGCTGCAGGACTTGGCACACAAATTATCCAGGCACGATTTCCATCATGCTCCTGGCTTCAAGGGTGAGATTCAGGAGGCCTGAAGGAGAACCGAAGGAGTTATTTGGAGAATAAGAAGTTTTACATGCGTTGTCGAGCTTTGAATGTAACGCGAATGATAACGTTTGAAAGGCTAAAAACACCACTGCCACACTCAAAGAGTGATATCGGTTTAATTTTTTTACATTCTATGCCGGGTTGAAAAAAATATGTCATACGCCAAGCTGTGCCAAATTGATGTAACATAAGATGCAACGCTCAACTTTTTAACGATTGTTTCGATAATTATGGAAAAGATGCAGGAGTTAGTTAATTGTTTAAGATAGGCTTTTTGAAAATATTGAAATTTCACCAAACCGAAGCATTTAATTTTAATAAAATTTCTACTACTGCAAAAAATAAACTGAATTTTAGTTTCAGCTGACCAATTTAGGTATATAAACTAAAAGATTTTTGGATTTTAAAGTTTTTCCTACATAGATCTTTAAATTATTGCGTACTTATCGCGGTCGTTTCAAGACATATAATTTAGACCTTAGCGGATATTATATTTAACTATTTGATAATCATTTTTCTGCTACACGGATTTCTTGTTGGGTCAATTCTTATTTGTTAAAAAGTTTTTCCTTTGTCTAACATTCCTGACCATTTTCTTAACTCGTTTTTTGATTTGAATTTATTATTTTATATTTTTCTACTTTACCACATTCATTTTGTATCCTTGTACATAGATTATATTCATCCGATTCTCGAATTTTTATATAGTATTGTCACATTGTAGTTACTTCAAGTCAATTTTTTAAATACAGTTGTTGTTATTGATTGCGTAAATTTGTTTCTTCGTATTACTCTCGAGTCATGATTAAGATATGAATAAAATGCTCCAAGTAACGTCCGTTTCCGTCTCCTGCGTTCCTTAACAATTTGAGCTCTTGGTCGCAAGGTGGCGGAACGTTATTAACCGACATTGCAGGAAACCGAATTGCGAGTCGATCCGTATATATCTACGTCTTGTAGATGTCGCTAGGTTAATCCCAATACATTTCTTTTTTACGTTATTTATGGCATATTTTTGAAAAAAAATCCATCACTTGCTCGACAATGCAAGATTGGTTCTTTATTATAGTTTTAATTACAGAAAAACTAAAAAATTTTATGATTCAAAATATGAATTTGCAAAAATCGATGTATTTATTTCCGGATTTTCTTTGTAATATTTAAAAATTTCCTTCCAAATTATTTTAGACGCGATAATGATCAATATACAATAACATTTCAAAATCTGATGACATTTATCAGCAATTTTTTTACTCGCCTCATATCGTAAAATGTACGAAAATTTTCGCAATTGTTCTACAATTTAACCGACCTGAAGGAAAACAGTATAATGTTTTTGTAAAAATATACACATATTGAAGTATCGTAAACTTTTGTAGACTTATTCAACTGCTAAATTTGCATATCAATATTATTTCATATTTTATATTCAAGAATTTCAGTTTCATACTCCTCCTTTCTGTCTTGGTTCTTTTATGAAACGACTTATGTTGCGAAATCCGAACGGCATCCAATCAGTATATTCGAAAAAAACTTTTACGTAGGCAAAAAGTTAGTTATATCAGCCGTGTAGGCCGACTCTTTGTGTTTCAAGGCACCACTCGGACCATATTTGGGTACCAGTTCGATATAAACTGACCACATATAAATATTGCAATCTTTTTGCTTTGCTAGTCAGTACGGCAAAACAGAGTCGTAATAAAACGATTGACGCGGACAACAAATACGAAAATCAACGAACTCACTGCACCAAATAAACTGATTCCATCTTGTTTGATCTTATGTGCGAAAAGAAAATTGTTTCAATAGAGACGTGGAAATAGAGAAAAGCTGTTGCGAATTGCAATTGGACACGAATCTATTCTGACTCAATCTCGGTATATCTAAAGAAGTCCGCACAACAAATAATTGGTATGGGGCCAATATACAATCACATTCAGTGAAAACGAATTTATTAATAAAGCAGTTCTTAAAAAATTTTTTCCTAACTACTTTTTAACTTATAATGTTTTCGTTACATTGTCGCCTTTAAATGCATATGCATTTTAAATATTCATCAATTTTTACTTTTTTTTGTCTGTTAAACTGTGATAACCAGGGTGCGTAAATTTTTAAGCAACATATAATGGAGTCAAAGCTCATTTCATTTCATTCCATTCATTTTTTTAAAGTTTTGCAGAATCTGTGAAAACAGATGTTACTTCCTTTTGCAAATAATATAAAGTGCTTAATAAACGTGAAATATATTGAAGGCTACATTCAGCTTCCATCTGAGGTAGATGATTTTGAAGAAAATGAATTTTTTCTACTCCCTTTACGTCATTATAGACCGATTTAGCTTGCGGAAAGTGTCATTTTACTGCGACAGTTTCATTTCCCACGAATCCGAGGCACTATGGACATTTTCGGAGATTTTACCGCACGGTTTAAATTTTGTCAATTCCGACGGTCAAGTATTGCTAAAATGTACAAAAAAAAGTATAGAATGCAACATATTTGTCAAAATTTTTAAGTTACTGCTTTATTAAGTATTCGCTCCGCTGCGCTCCGCTCGTGCCAAACGTAACTCGTTACTGAAATGCCGTTTACCACACTTGTTGCATAACATACTATTATAGTCTTCAATAGAAGTAAGAAAATTGATAATGTAAAAGGTGTGGGCATTTTTCTTGCTACTTCAACCTACTGTTGTAAGTTATCTGACTATTAAAGCCAAGCTCATAATAAGGCAACTTACTTGTTCTGATGAATAAATATAAATTTTTTATTCTAATATGTATTCAGAAATACATACCCTATCACAAGATTTGTAGTTCCAGTACTATATGTCTAATGAATGAACAGGATCAGACGTTCACATTTAACAGTATTTTGGCGTAAAACTAATTATTTTAAACAGTATTACCTTGAAAAAATAACATATATATGTCGATGCTTCATTTCTATATTGCCGGTCTTCACAATCTTCTAGTGTTAGATTTCATTCACTCATTAATCTTTTATTACAATTTTTCCGTTCCAATCGGGGTCTTCCTCTTCTTCTTCATATTCCCTGGTGTTCTTTCTAAAACTGGTTTGGGCAATCGTGTATCAATCATTCGTTGGACATGGCCATATGAAGTTAGTTGTTTTTGCTTAATATCATTGGATATGGTGCCCTCAGTTTCGATTTGTTCTTTTACTATTTCATTTCTTATCCTTTTTGTCCTTGAAATACGTAATAGTATATGCGGGGCGCAGCGGAGAGAGTGTTTAATGAACGTGTCACTTAAAAAGTTTACCGAACTTGTTGCATACTATACTGTTTCTACGACCGTTATTTTTTGGGTACATTTTCGCAAAACAACACGAATACATTCACTGACATGACCGTCAGAATTGACAAACGAAACCATACGATTGCTCTCAAACCCGCGCAGTAAAATTCCGGAAATGTCCGAAGTGGCTCGAATCCGTGGGAGAAGAAGCTCATCTGGTAAAGTGACGCTACTCGCGCGCTAGATCGGTGTATAATCAGGTATTTTACAGAAAGGAGTAGAAAAAGGTCATTTTATATACTTTGTGGTAATTCACCAGGTTTCTGCTCCATATAATAGGGTACTCATTTCGTAGATATGTAATATAATAATAAAAATATTATCTTCAAGAATCACCCAAAAGAATGGAGACGACCAGGGCTGATTTGGCCTTATCTTTCTTCTATCTCCAACAAGATATTAATAAAACAAAATCGATATTTTCAAACTGAACGATTGCGCCAACAATGAATACGGCCGAGTAATAATCAGATGATCCGACCATAGGTACGCGATCGGTAATTGTTCAGTAGGGGACAAATCTGGCGACCTTGTAGTCCAAGGTGAACTGTCGTTCTTTTTTCCGCTTCGGGTCGGAATTAAGGTATGTCTCGGAGTATGTGGAACGCATGTCGCACCAAACAAAGAATTCTTATCTTTTAACGTTTGTGATTAATGAATTGCGAGAGTTCTAAAAGTTCTCCGACCGCAGATAATAGGTACGTGTACGCGAGTTATATCGACCAACGTTTAAGAATATGGAGTAAAGATTGCTGCGTTTGTTCTCCACGTGACCTATAAGGTATTCAAAATGCAAATGTCCAGAGAACGACTACCATAGAACCATGAAACATGTTACCGCCATGTGATGTTAAAGTTGGGATTCTAAAAATAATATCATACACATGTTTTGGGTTTACCGACAACTCTTGGGAAAGACATAAAATTGTTAGCAACCCAAAAGAAATTGATGTAATATTTAGATCGAGGTTATTCTTTTTTAATAATTTTCCAATAATTTTTTTTTTGGATTATGATCACAATCAAGTTCTATGGCCTATAACTAAATACGCATGTTCTTTGATCTTTCAGATCAATCGGATGCGTTGGAATGTCTTTGGTTAGTCAAGTTCATAGGACTTCTGTCGGAAATTCTTTAACGGCCCTCGTATAAACCCACGTTTGCAACGAATGACAGGGGTATGCCCTGTTTATATTCAGTCGAAGCCAAGTCATTATCAATTAAATAAATCTCCTTACGAACGTTGTACATGTGTATTTGTATGTGACTGAATGTACGATTGTGTGGGGGGTCCAGTATATTATAATTATTCTTATTCAAAACAAAGGCATTTAGTTCTTAGAAATGCCGAGGAATAAATTGCGTGCCCTGCCAGCGCAACGGATCTATTAACATTATTCCAATAGTGAAAATGATTGAATAGTAAGTGGTCCCGCCTTGAAGTCATGACCCGTTCTTTTTGTCAATAATGTAGTTTTTTATTTGGACAAAAACAAAAAAGTTTTCACTTTTCCTGCTTTCGATTAATGACTTCACCGTAAATATTTATATAGGAAAAAGTAACTTTAGATATATTTTTTAACTCCCAATTGAAATTGTAATACCGGACGTTCTTTATCATTTCTTCAGGTAAAATACGAACTGCTCATTCGTTTAAGTTTTTTCTATAGAGCTCAAAAATTAAGTTCAAAAGTTGCAGTGATAACTAATATAAACAAAGTAGCAGAAAGCACAAAGAGGGATGTTTTTTGTAACTTTGGTTTTCCTAATTAGAGGTTATATAAAAAAAAATTAAGAGGTCATGAAAAATATACATGGTGCTTTTTAAAAAATGTTTGTTGTCCGGGGTATAGCTTTAAAACGCTTCAAATAAGGTTTATAACTATATTGTTCATTTATTTTTTCTGTTGAACCTAGAAATGTTGAACTTATTTACATCTTTCCAAAAATATGTTCGCATTTCTTCATATATTCATATATATAGAATTTTAGTATTCCTCTGATTTTTTGGACTGGAAAAAATTTATACATTTTATAGCTTCATTCGGGTTTCTAGTTATAGGGGGACATTCAAGTATTTCTAACTTTTTTCCTTTGAAAATTAAATTATTCATCAAAATATTGGCCGCAATTAGAATCCTGAATCTGAATCTTTTGGTTGAATATATTTCGTAACTTTTGTTATTCACCCGGCATTTGTTAGCCATTTTGTTTTTTCGAAATTATTTTGATTTTGTCTAAAAAATTGCTTAGTTACATTTTATCATTACTATAAGCAATACAAGATAAATAAATAAATAATTCCATATGTATTTTTGTTGCTCAATAAAAAACTTTATTATTATCTTAATGTTCGTATGTATTATCGTGTTGTTTTGTATACATTTGCATTTTCTCTCTTTTTTTATTGTAATTGCATTTTTATTGTT